CTATATACACAGATTTATCACACTAAGAAACCAAAACTTTATAAAAAATATAGAACTGACGGCTACTACTAAAAAGCGATACAGCGATACAACGATACAGCGATACAGGAACCGGAACCTGGAACCGGAACCTGGAACCGTGCATAATTTATGCAAATTAGAGCATTTTGCACCACAGGAGATATACATGATAATAATTTACAGGGGGGGCGGGCACAATTCAAAGATAGTATAAAATATTAAATGCAAAGCATTTTGATTTTTTAAACAAAACAAAGAATGAACATCGTTGTAGCACTATATCACGAAGTAAAACATTTGTCTGTTTTGATATGATTGACTGCATATGACACACTTTGTTTATTTAGCCGCCGTACTTACTACGATTATGAAATGCCGGCAGACTGAGAAGGAAACCACAGCACGCAAAGCAGATTGCGCTGAATTCAGAGGCAATTGTGCGCTAAAGTAATTATAGTGTAGTGTAGTATGATGCAATCCAACATTGAAGGTGCTATAGCACTATGAATACGCGAATATTGCGAATATGCTGCATGCTAGAAATATCCGCTTGAAACATCAATCACAAGTATGAATGAAGTAATGAAGTTAACTTCAATCTCGTAACTTCAATGTCATTTAATTAATTTTAATACATCTAATAATGAAAATGTCTGATTGAAATTCAGTGTCGAAACCATATAGGGATGTACAATACAGTATACTAAACACATTTGTATTTATAATCTTAACCCCTGAAGGGCAAGAAACTGATAATGAACCTCTTGTAAGTATCTGATTACGTCCGGAGGAAGAAACAGATATCCAAAATGGAATGCAGGCTGCTTCTTTTTCACACAATCCATGTTAAAATGAAAATACACGTTACTGCGCCTTGACATTTGTTCACCGTTGTGAGGATATACCCGCACCATATTCGAAACAATTACCAAGTCATGAGGCGGTTGACAAATTTTACCGTTGATTTTCAGGCTTTGAGAGCAACCAAAACATACGCTTACTTGCGCAGGACAAAATTGTAACAAATACAACCAAAAATGTCCGGATTGTGGACGCGGATTGTCTGGCACGGGTGCCGGAACATTTGGAATAACACATGGTGCTGGGCAATTCAATGGATGTCGTAATTGAACACTTGCGAACGTTCTCGTGTTTATACTGGCCTCTCCTCGTGTTGGTGGTGGAACTGGTGTTCTTGGAGCAATGCTTGTGATGTTTTCATATCGGTTCGCACTCTGCAATGGCAATGTATTTCCTCTCAATGGCAATGTATTTCCTCTCAATGGTAATGTATTTCCTGTAATGGTTATTGAGCTGGAAAGTTGTGAAACTGCAGCATTACTGTTTAGCTGTTGGTTGTTGCATGGTGGCAACATAGCATGATGAGTACTTAGAATAGTAGTGCTATTGATGGGAAGGGACGATGTTTGGGATGAGTTTTTTTGTCGTTTGTTACTGCCCCGTTTAATTTGGTTGTCTTTTTTCCCAGATCCATTAGGCAAACCATGCCGTGACAGATTCTGCAGACTTGTGCCGATTTTTTTGGAGGTCTCCAAAAATTTCCAATACTCCAGTTTGACGTCCCACGCAACAGCTGCTGCCTGGGTATGGGAGCACATGCCATGTGTGGAAAAATTCAGGCAACCTTTACCTGGACCGCATTTCAATTCCACCACGTTTTCACCTCTACGTTTGCGGTCCTCTCGAACAACGATCCTCGGGTACACGTCCGAGTGACTAGCAATTGCAACTTGCTTATTACCTTTTCCCTTAATATCTGACACGAGATTCTCCTGGACAAGTTTCTCGGCTTTATTTAGTATCCCTTTCAATACATCAGCTGCGATGTTCACTGCAGGCATCAAAAATGAGTTTTCCGTCCTTACGGTGATAGAACTATTCGGGGAAACACTGACGTCCGAGCTCTCTGCTGATGATTGGGTAATTTGTGGTATGGCACTGCAAATTTGGGTGGACGGTCCGCATTTGCATGCCTCCAGGAACCGATTGAAATGGGCGACGCGCTTTACCGGAGAAAAGCTCCACCACTTCGATCCCACGTTGAATGTTTCATAACCTTCGACGAAACGATACTCACCTGTGCCAGCAAAAGCCGCCTCGATAACAATTTGGTCTGCCCTGACAAATTCCTCAGCATCCTTTATAAATTTGGGCAAATCTGAAGCTTTATAATTGACATGTTTTTTAAACTTTGAGTTCATGCACTCATTGTCATTTGTCGTAAATTTGTCTCGTATGCCATTCCTCAAGCGAACATCCAGCAGCATGGTATTCTTCATAATAGGTGCCTGAAATGTAAATATTCAAATGTACATAATAAAATAACATACATAATTCATTTGTTGTTGTTGATGGCTTTGTATTCTACTCCATTCTATTTTATTTTTCATCCCCATATCCATTCTATTCTATTGTATTCTACTCTGCATTCTCTATCTCAGTCTGTTCTATTCTATTCTAGATTGTCAGTCGTTTATATACTGTACCTTTTCAGTCAATATCCAATCATAGAAACTAGAATTATTCTTCTTGGTTTCTGCTTTTTCTCTATCATTCCACACGACCTCTAGCGATTGCAATCTAGCGTCAAATTCTAAGGGCGATTCGGCATCCAAAATTCCATTTTCATCAAAAATTTCAGCTAGAAATTTCGAGACCTCACCACCTTTAATACCAAGATCTCTTAACTTTCTTTCGACATTTCTCCTCATGTGAATAAAGCACGAAAGATGATCAGCTTCCACCCATTCATCCTTTAAAGCTGTGTATAAATTGACTTCATCATCTGTACCAAATGCTTTGATTAGCTTTGTTGCTGGATCGATGTTGCCAAGAACTTGCGGAAGATGTTTATAAGAGGAGTATAACTTGCGATGGTGTACAAGCGAAGGTCCCAAGAAAAGAGGATGCATTCCACTTCGATCTTCAAGAGCTAGGTGTCGATAGACAGTAAATGTAACATAGAACTCACCAAGATTGAATGTAGGATCGACCCCTAGAACACAATTGTTGGGACGATCAACACAACAAAACGATATTATGTCGTTAATTTGGCGCTTATTTGCCAAAACACAACGTGGCTCTGGTGCTCCAACTACCTCCCGGACAAATTCTTCCCCCTTTCTTTCACTCTTGCATCTTTTCATCACTTCTGCTAGATCATCTCGTTTTCCAAATTGGTGAGGTGCAAATGTTGACTTATTGTTTTTCACCTTCTGGTTCGTATTCCACGCTTGCTTTCGATTTCGACAAAGGTCACTTGAGCTTGTAGCTAACATGTACCCACCATGAATGGAGTCTACCTCACTCTGTGCCCTTGCCGGTGTCAAGTTTGTTTGTTCGAGAGTGGTCTCTAGGTTTTTTCTCACACTAGCTTTTGTTTTTGTATACGGTCTACTTGTTGTTTTTGCATTACCGTGCGGAATAATGCAGACGTCGTGATCGTCCTCGTTGAAGGTATACTGTACCAAGCAGTATTTGTGGTTGATAAAATGTCCACTTCTTTTTGTGTCAGGTACTTTCAGTTGCGCTGTCATCCTTCTTAAGTCTGGAGAAGCCTTGCACGTGCCGTACTTTCGTTCTAAAATGAAAATATCTGCATTCTCTAATCCCACACTTTCAAGTTCATCAGTGGTAAGTGGTTGGTTCCTGTTGCATACCAGATGTTTCACACGATTATCTTCAAACTTCACGTACACATATTCTGGTGGACTTCCATGTTGTCTATAAGATCCCATGTCATCAGAGGCCAAATCTCGAATATCTTCTAACATATCTAAATCTACGACAAACGACATGCTTGCTGAGATATTACTGGGTTGCCGAGCACAAACCTTCCCGCACTGTTTCAACAATTCGTACTCAAGTAGAATTTTCGCAATTTCTTGCTTTGTGTAGGATAGTTTTCCTCTTTCCAAAATCGGAAGCTGATTCTGAGCGTTGTGATAACCATACCATCTGCAAAGAGCAATGGTTAGATGTTAGGTACCGGTCATTAATAATGGGAGGGGGAGTGGTGGGTGATAAATACCAAATATTCAACTTTTCTGAAGCCGCCCCAATTGACGCCCCACCTTCAACTAGAAAATTTAGGACTCCCCCCACCCCCTCCCCCTGCAACACTTAATTCCTTACAAAGTCCTATTTTTAATAAAACAGTTACTATAAAATTATACCAAAAGGTTAGACTGCAAGCGGTCCCTCCATTCCGCTATTTTAAAGTAATTTAACTCGAAAAAAACTTCGGTGACCCCCATTTTTTTATTTCATAAAATGATTTCTTTTACTTTTTTTAATTATTTTCGTGATTAAAAAAAATCCAACATAGCAAAAAAAATTATTACGAATCAGTTTCATATTTTCCTACCTTGAAAAATTTCGGCATGACAGAATTTTTTACTGAAAATCATGAAAATAATTCAAAATACCAATAGAAATCATTTTATGAAGCAAAAAATGGGGGTCACCGTGGTTTTTTTCGAGTTAAATTACTTCAAAACATAACATATTCCCCATGTTGTGACGTCATTTTTGCCATAGCAACGGCTGTTAGGAGTAGCTTTTGAAAAATTCATAACTCTTTAGTTATTATAATAGTTTTGTTTGTGGAAACACCACGTAAATTTATTACTGCAAAGCTTTCGATTCGTAAGCCCGGATCTTCATCAGTGCTAATAATATGTGACTTGTTCAATTCACACGCCCTTTTTATTTACAAAAGTGTCGTGATCTGTTGGCTCGCGTCATTTGAAAATTAATTAAATTTAAATTTCTTTAGTCATTGTGTTATGCCAGCCAGATACTCTTCGCTTTTAAATTAAACAAGTAAAAATTGTCCAGAAAATCATATCCAAATCCGAAAATCTCTACTTACAAAAGTGTAGGGAGCCACCTTAATTAAAAAAAGTAAATATATAAATAATGTTGTTAACTCACTTTTTCAAGCGTTCTTGCAAACTATCACCGATTTCCGTCGATTTTTTTAGCTGGCCATTACGTTGATGTTTTGTTGGGGATTCTAGATTTTTCATCGACTCTGTGAGGTTGTCGATAATCCTTTGTAAAAAAAACCTTGTTGTTTATAAAATGGATTTAAATTTAAGATACCTTACAACATGGTCGATTTTACACGCATACAGTGAAACAACAAAGCTACAATCTATACAGGAATAGCGTTACTTGCAACAACATAAAAATATAACTAAATCACCTGCCACTATGTTCCAACTCAATAGGTTCCTGTCTTGTTGGCTCATCTTCCTCGGACTTATCCACTTTGATCAAAGACGGTCTCTACAAAATAATCGGAAATTATAGGAATTTGGGATAAAATATATAGGATAAACAACAAAGATATCAGAATTACAAAAAAGAACAAAAAACAAAACAACGAATAAAAGAGAACAAAGATATTAGGACGCATGCAATTACCTTTGGCTTTTGCGACCGAGCCTTGGTGATGGGTTTTGTAGCTCTAAAATATTATAATTAAAATATATATGTTAATTATATAATATACTTTATGACCATTTTTTAATAGCTAGAGTGTCTGTGTAGAATGCACGCAGGCTAACCAAAAGCTATTTGGCATATGTGTATCTGGTATCACAGCATAGACAAGGGCTGATATTTGTAACTCAAGAATTAATATATAATATATATATATATATATATATATATATATATATATATATATATATATATATAAAAAGTAAGATATATTAATTGAATACCTTTGGCAGTGGCTTTGTGATTTACACCGGTTTAACCGTAGATGTTTGTTCAGATTTCCTACTCTGGAGAACTTGGTATGACACATATCGCATTTTATTATTTTTTCCTCGTTGCTGCTTCCAAATGCACTATGCATAAGAACATCATCTTCGCTGCTGGACTCAGTAAAATCGACAGAAACGCTTGATGCAGAATCACTGGTCAGAACTTTGGATACCTAAAAATATAATGTAGAATCAAAAGGTGATTGTTTTAACTTTTGTTGC